GAAAGGGGAACCCTCCTACACTGCTGGTGGGAATGCAGTTTGGTGCAGCCACTGTGGAAAACAGTGTGGAGATTCCTCAAAAGACTAGGAATAGACTTACCATATGACCCAGGAATCCCACTCCTGGGCTTGTATCCAGAAGGAAATCTACTTCAGGATGACACTTGCACCCCAATGTTCATAGCAGCACTATTTACAATAGCCAAAACATGGAAACAGCCTAAATGTTCATCAACAGGTGACTGGATAAAGAAGATGTGGTATATTTATACAATGGAATACTACTCAGCCATAAAAACTGACAACATAATGACATTTGCAGCAACATGGATGCTCCCAGAGAATGTCATTCTAAGTGAAGTAAGCCAGAAAGAGAAAGAAAAATACCATATGAGATCGCTCATATGTGGAATCTAAAAAACAAAAACAAAAACAAACAAACAAACAAAAACAAAGCATAAATACAGGACAGAAATAGACTCATGGACAGAGAATAGAGACTTGTGGGAAGGGATAGACTGGGATTTCAAAATTGTAGAATAGATAAACAAGATTACACTGTATAGCACAGGGAAATATACACAGAATGTTATGATAAATCACAGAGAAAAAAATGTGACAATGAGTGTGTATATGTCCATGAATGACTGAAAAATTGTGCTGAACACTGGAATTTGACACAACACTGTAAAATGATTATAAATCAATAAAAAATGTTAAAAAAAATATTTCCCATATTTGTCTCTCATATTTAGAGTTAACTTAACATATGGTTATAACTGTCATCAAAATTTTAAAGTTATACACTTCCTCTAAACTAACAAAAATATTTCTAAGCGCTCAAAAAGACAAAAAAAAAACCTCAAACAAAAATAATTATCAACTCACCAGATATGATACATATTTCAGACACATTTAAGACACATATTTCATCAAGATGCAGAGATCAATTTCTACTAACAGTTATTAAAGATCAGTTTGGGAATTTTTTAGAAAAGATAGATTAAATTTGAGATTGTTTTTAATATAAAATTCCCTAAAAACTCTTTCCAAACAGTAGTCAATTGGACTAGAGTTTCTTACCTGTAGTCATCTAACTGTACCAGAAATCGTACAATGTCATGATGAGCTTTCAGTACAAGCAGTTCAGTGTAGGGGTTCTGGGTTTGTTCTTCACCTATTGTCTGTAAAGGAGATTTCTTATATTGGGGGGAAAAAAAGAGAGAGAGAAAAAGAAATAAAATGACTTATGATAAAAGACCATATTAGAATAAAACTACATTGTACACACCTAAGAATACAGGATTATAAAAACTATAAGACATTATGTTCTAATACTACATAGTATTTCTTCTAATATCAACTAACTGACAACAGAAAACATTTCTCATACCATGAATCCACACCATAAATTTTAATATTTTCAAGTCAAAATAAATTTTTAAATGGGTGAATTTTGTATTATGGAAATTATACCTCAAAAAACCTAACCTAAAAAATTAATGGGCCAATCCAATACAGTATTTTAGAATGAGTGTTTCTCAGTTAAAACTTGGCAGAAAAAAACTGCAGGTCAAAGGAGTAAAATACAATGTAGACTAAAACAGTGCCTACCTCATTATAGGCCCTCAACACATGTTTGCAGAATGAATAAAGGAAGAAATGAAATAATTTAGAGTCAAAGAATTCAATAAATTCAACTTTGGACAATAATATTGATAAAAATAACTGCTAACACAGAGTATATGGTGGCATCCCATATGCAAAGCACATATGGTGTATAACTCACCCATTAATTCTCTAAGGTAGGTCTTAACCCCATTTCTCAAACGCAGTACTATTTCATAATAAAACGTGTTCTTAACCTTCTAAACTGCAGTTTCTCAAACGTGATACTATTGACATTTTGGACCAGGTAATTCTTTTGTTGAGGGCTGTCCTGTGCACCATAGGCTGCTCAGCATCATCCCTGGCTTCTACACACTAGATGCCAATAGAAATCCAACCCTGCCCCCAATCGTGACAATCAAAAATGTCTCTGGACATTGCCAAATCATCCCAGCAGAGAAACACTGCTTAAACTAGAAGCCTGGATACAAAGTTCTTGAATAATTAGGGGAAAATCATTGGTTCTGATAATGTACAGATTCATAGCAGTTATAAAAGTGAAGTACTTTTATATGAAGAAATGTACAAAATGCATAATTTTTAAATTCACTTTCAAAGCAGTAATTTTGTATTTATCCTAACTCCCTTCTAGCAGTGATCCTGATGAGAAAAGCAAAACAAATCTGAAAACTGTATATTACTTCCCCCAAATGAAAGCTTGCCAAGTACAGCAGAATTAGTTAATTCTATGATTAATCAAATAATCAGGTTAATAAAGAATTGTCATATATATCAGTCAATTTTCCACAGTTCTTCCATAATCTTTAGGATTTAAGCCTATCTGAAATAAGCCTAATTTTAAAAAATATTTCTTTAAAAAGACAATATGTCTTAGCAGCAAAGATATGAGGAAGTTAAAACTGAGAAGTAAAGCTGCTTACAACAAACCAAGTTTTTTTTTAAACATTCAAAACAAATATTTTCTATGAAAAATAAAACGGAATTCAACACAAATTCTACTCTCGGGCGGCATTTGAAGTCAAGTTCCAGATATCAATATCTTTCAGGTTCCAAGATTATTTTATTTGCAACATTTCAAATGTAAATCTCATTACAGTCTATTAAATTATTCAGGCCCATGAAGAAAGTGTGGCTATGGAACCCAAAATAGCAGTTAATTAGAATATTTTTCCAATTTGAAGCAAATTAATTTTTTAAAATACTTATATATTTTTTGTTCTAGTACAAGCAATGAAATTAATTTCATGTTCCCTGAACAAGCATCAGTTGATGTTGGGAAGTGGCAAGAAAACAAATAAACCGAAAGAGTAAAGCTGCAGTCACCACTTATTAGTCTCCACTAAGTCAGATAGTTGTTAAGTTGAAACGAGACGGGTTTAAACAGGGAGAAGACTACTTGAGAGTCCTTGTGCCTGCGGCTGAACCACACCAGTTTCAGTTTCCTCTCCTCTCGGAACAGGGATTTAACTCTCAGGGAAAGAGCCCCCACCCCCCACGCCGACCCGCCCTCCTATCCCGCAGGCCCCGCCTCCGCTCGGCTCTCCGGGTCTGGACCCGGGAGCCGGGCTAAGACAGAAGGCTCGGATTAAGCAAGCTCGATCTCTGCGGCGGCAGGAGGGGTTCACCCAGAGGGTTACCTCGGCCAGTCCCTGAGGTTCTCGTCCTCCGCCGATCAGCCATCGCAACATCCGGCCAGCGAAGGCGTCTCGCCGGGCCCAGGCCGCAGTCAGGCCGAACTCCGCGCCGGGTTCAGCCTCCTCCTACCTCTCGGGTAGCAGCGAGCGGAGACGCTAATACTTGCCCCCTCAGATTTGTCCACGCAAGGAAGAAGTGCTAAGCAGAGCCCACTGAAGAGGGCAGATTTTTGTCCCCAAAGTGCTGCCGTACCCAGCGACAGAGGTATGGTTAAGGGTAGCCGCCAAGGGAGGCGCAGCCGAAAGCTACAGAGTCCGTGGAGGTTCAGAGGCGCGCGCGCGGCACCGAGTGAGCACGCGCGGCGCGCCGCCTGGTTTGCAGAACTTGGGTAGTTCGAGCGGCCTCTGGTGGACGCGTGTAGCGCAACACCGAGAGCCTGGAGGGCAAACGCCGGCCAAGAGCAGTCCCTCTCCCTGTCAGATGGCTTTTGCATCCGTCACTTGCCTTGGAGACCAAAAAATGTACCCACTCCCCCTGGTTTCCTTAAGAGCTGGCTGGAGAAGGTGTACTTCAGTAGACGTTTGCATCCAGACTAATCCAGTGGCACGTGTGTACACGAGAATAAATCTGGCCAGTATTTATTGGGTGCTGTAGTAGAGGTACTGTGCTAAGGCTTCACATAAATCTTCACAGTAACCCTATAGTCCCTATTTTATAAAGAAACTGAAACTCTGAAAGATGAGGTAGTGTGTCTAAGGCTAACATCTAGGAAGTGGCTACACTGAAATCCAAAACTAGTGCTCTTGACTGTATGCTATAATGTCTAACAATCTCTCTAAAGAAGAAAAGGCACTTCACATCTTCTATTGTGACTCCTAGATTTCCTTAGGTAGTCAAAGGGCTGTGGTTCTCCACTCTGGCTGCATATTAGAATTACGGGATAGCTTCTGAAAAATATGTAATTCCTAGCTTCCACCCCAGATTTATTAAAATAATCTATGGTTAGAGCATAGAAATTAGAGTTTTGGGGAAAGTTCGTCAGGTTATTCTGATGAGTAGCAAGGTCTGAGAATCACTGGTCCAGGGACTACTTAAACATATGTCTGTAAAAGTTCATACATATATTTGCATATGTGATTGTTAGGTTCAAAAAAAAAGGTGCTAGCAGTAAATTCTTAAAGAGAACCTACCACAAGTGTCCCAACCAATGCATAAATTCAATAAACATGTAAACATGCAAAAAGGAATCACAAAATTGATGCTCTCTAGGATCAAGGCAGAATGTACTAGACACCATAAGAAAAGGCCATACATCCTACTGCCCAATCTAACTGGCAGTTTCTAGAGAACTAGGATCTCCTATGATTCATATTTGTGTTCATTTTGAGAAACCTGACAAAGGAACACTCCCAAGGGTCAGAAAAGGTTGCCTTCAGTGTACTAGCCCCAAATTAGAGTTTGTATGCAGTCGAAGATAGACCAAAATATACGAGCCCTAGGAAAACAGGAATTTGTCTTAAGTGAAACAAAATCCAGGAATACCAAGATTTAAGTCCTGGAAGGACAATCTTCAAGTGAGGCAACATGGCCACCCAGATGACCTAAATTTTATTCTTCTAATTTATCACATTCTTTGGGTGTTTGTCCACTGCCTCATTACTCTGATCTAAAGAACACTTCTGATCTTTAAAGCACTGGCTTTAAAACTGAACCAACATTGGAACCACAGTCACAGAAGAAAGGTTGGAACTAGCCAGGTTAATTGCTAACTAAAATAAAACTACCAACATTAGCTACAGGACTTGAAATAGTTTTTTGGAATCATATTGCAAAGGTGTAGAAATACAATCTGAACTTACTTGGCATATGAAGAAATACGAAAATCTCAACTCACATAGGAAAACACCA